AAATTTGGTCCCAAGCGTAGAGGCAGATTCTGCCACCATTATGCAGGGTAATACCTACCTGCAGTGTGACTAATTGCAGAGGAGAGTGAGTAAGGATGGCTCATGTGGCACAGCCATATCCAGCAGTCCTTCAGTGGAAGTTTTTTTGAGTATGGACTAAATGAGGTTTTGTCTACACTAGGAGCTAGTGCTGAGATTCCGCTGCTTGTGAACACACATCTCACCCTTGCTCTCATTGAGTTAGCGCAAGTATAAATAAATAGCAGTGTAGCTGTAGTAGCACTAGTCATAGGCGCTGACTTCCCCTCTTCCCTGTGGGTGCTTGACTCCCCCTCTGCCCCTGGCCCCACCCCCACTCCACCCCTTCCATGAGACCCCACCCCTGCCCTGCCCCTTTCCACTCCTGCCCTGCCCCCATTCCAACTCCTTCCCCAAAGACCCTGCCCCAACTCCGCCCCCTCCCTGCCCCATTCCAATTCTGTCCCCAAATCCCCGCCCCAGCCCTGCCTCTTCCCCACCTTCTCCCCTGAGCGCGCCACATTACCGCTCCTCCCCCTGCCCCTCCCCCCCGGAGCATGCTAACGCTGCCAAACAGTTGTTTGGCAGCAGCTGGGTGGGAAGCGCTGGGAGGTAGGCGGAGGAGCGGGGCTGCAGTGCGCTCAGGGGAGGGGGAGGAGGTGGGGCGGGGGGTGAGGGGAGCTTGGCTGCCAGTGGGTACAGAGCACCCACTAATTTTTCTGAGTCAGCGCCTATGGCACTAGGAGCTGCAGTGGAGGCATGGCTGAGCCATGCCAAATACGTACCCATCGGTTTCCAGGGTGGGTTTGTATTCAGTATGGCTCAGCCAAAAAGCAGCCATTGCTGCTCCTCTGCTACAGTGGTTATTTAACTGCTGCACTGTTGTTTATACCTGCACTAGCTGAATGAGAGCATGAGTTATGTGTACACAAGCACGGGAATCACAGCACTAGCTCGTAGCGTAGCCAGAGCCTGAGACGAGCATAATGTAGCTCATACTATAAAACAACCAAGGTCAGCGAGTCCTTGTGGTTTTTGTCACACAGATTAAAAACCCGGGTTGGGAGGATGGTGGTTTTGCACATATTGTATGGCAGAGCTATTTTTTATAATATTTGTTTCTAGGGACTTGTCTACATGATGTATTAGTCTGCACCAGAGGGGTATAAATTCTAGTGTTCACTAGCATGTTGCATGCTAGCTGGTCCCTGTGGCCCCTGCTAGCGTGCACTAGAAGTTCTGTAGTGCATGTTAATGTAATCCTGTTTGAAACAGATATAAATTGATGTGCACTAGGGACCTTCCAGTGCATGCCACCAGGGTCCACACAGGCCAGTTAGTGTGCAACACTCTAGTGCATGTGAGAATTTACACCTCTTTGGGGCAGACTAGTGCACCATGTAGACAAGCCCTAAATTACACACACATTGCAGCTACAAACTAGTATTGTGATCTCTCTGCTCACATTGAGTAGTACCTAAACCATGAGTAGTCCCGTTGGCTTTTATGGGACATGATCCAAGGTTCTGTTCAGCATTAGTAAGGGGATCACAACCTGTCTCTAAAACTTTTGACGCTGTATTGAATTTTCAAATTCTCATTGTCAGATTTGTTGTGGTCATTGTCCTCTTTCCCCTAAATCTTTATTAATGCTGATTTCACTACTAATCTCTTTCTCTCTTGTTTGTATTATTAGGCAAAAGGCAAACTTCTGGGAATACATTGACTTCTGCATTGTTATTCATTATCATCATGTACTTCATTCATACTTATGTCATGCGGCACACAGTGGGACTAAGGTGGGCTCCCTGGTCCCATGCCGCTCCCGGAAGTGGCCGGTACCACATCCCTGCGGCCCGTGGGGGGCGGTCTGCACGCTGCCCTTGCCTATGGGTACCACCCCCAGAGCTTCCATTGGCCGTGGTTACCCGTTCCCAGTCAATGGGTGCTTCGGGGGAGGTACCTGCAGGCAAGGGCAGCGCACGGAGCCCTCTGCCCCCCTGGTGGCCGGTACCAGCCGCTTCCGGGAGCGGTGCAGGGCCAGGGCAGGCAGGTCGTCCCCGCTGGGCCACAGGGGTGGCAATCCTGCGGGCCGGATCTGGCCCCCGGGCCATAATTTGCCCACTCCTGAGCTAGAGCCAAGAATATTCTTTCTTTAAATCCAAAATTGATTTTAAGGCAAGATCATTGTGAAGATCCACAGCTAAACTAGTGTGGAGATGCTAGAATGGTATCTTGTAAAATACATTGACTAACCATGAGGTGTTTATATCAAAACAAATTGCCTCAGAGTTACCTAGTGAAATGTGTTGCATACGTGCCATGTAGAAATAATGCTATTCAATAAAGGTTGGCACCATCATTTGTCTTTTGTGGATCCAGTAACATTTTCTGCCACTGGCTTTTAGAGCTGAAATAAATTACTGCAGGAACTGAAGCTGGATCTATAGCTCTATTTGCTCAGCTTAAAGCCAAAATCTCACCAAAAAGGGTGAGGGAAAGGGCTGTTCTGAAGATATGGTTGAATGTAAAAAATGTTCAAAAAAATTTAAAAACCTCTAAAATATGAATCATAGAAGATTAGTGTTAGAGACCTCAGAAGGTCATCTAGTCCAACTCCCTGCTCAAACAGGACCAAACCCAACTAAATCATCCCAGCCAGGGCTTTGTCAAGCCGGGCCTTAAAAACCTCTAAGGATGGAGATTCTACCACCTCCCTAGGTAACCCATTCCAGTGCTTCACCACCCTCCTAGTGAAATAGTTTTTCCTAATATCCAACCTAAACCTTCCCCACTGCAACTTGAGACCATTGTTTCTTGTTCTGTCATCTGCCACCACTGAGAACAGCCGAGCTCCATCCTCTTAAGAACCCCCCTTCAGGTAGTTGAAGGCTGCTATCAAATCCCCCCTCACTCTTCTCTTCTGCAGACTAAATAAGCCCAGTTCCCTCAGCCTCTCCTTGTAAGTCATGTGCCTCAGGCCCCTAATCATTTTCGTTGCCTGCTGCTGGACTCTCTCCAATTTGTTCACCTCCTTTCTGTATGTGGGGGGCCCAAAACTGGCTGCAATACTCCAGATGTGGCCTTACCAGTGTCAAATAGAGGGGAATAATCACCTCCCTCGATCTGCTGGCAATGCTCCTAATGCAGCCCAATATGCCGTTAGCCTTCTTGGCAACAAGGGCAGACTGCTGACTCATATCCAGCTTCTCGTCCACTGTAATCCCCAGGTCCTTTTCTGTAGAACTGCCGCTTAGCCAGCTGGTCCCCAGCCTGCAGAATCAGGCCAAGACTTTGTCATGTTTGTAAAGGGCTTGGTCATGCCAGGAGCTGATTGCTCTGGTCTCAATCCAGCACAGAATGTAAGCACATGCTTAACTTTAGGCATGTGAATAGCTCATTGGACTGAGTGGCAGTACTCACATGCCTGAAGATAAGAATGTGGTGAAATACTTTGCTGGTTCAGAAAACCAGGCCTTATTCAGCGAGTCTTATTCATGTTTACTTTGCAATGGGGTTACTTGCAGGGTAACATGCTACTCACGTGAACAAGTATGGCAGCACTAGGCACTAAATAAACAATAAAGGCTAAGGGGTGAGATCCTGGCCCCATTTAAGTCCGGAGGAGTTTTGCCATTGACTTCAGTGGAGTCAGGATTTCAACCTGGATGCTGCACTTAGCTGCCTCTTATTCAGCTGTGCAGAGGGCGCATGCAGAGAGCAGTGCCTGCTCCTCAGATACTCCTCCTCCTAGTGAGTGGTTGGGGATGGGGCAGAATCTTAGCTCAGTTTCACTAATCACGGGCTAGGCACGTGTGGGAGCTCAACTGTGACCTTTTGAGGGCTGCAGTAACTTATTTCTCCTCATGCCCCACACAGCACGAGGGGGCTGGTGTATTCATGTACCAATCCTTGCTAAAGCCTGAGCCTAAAGAGACAGGCTAGCCCTAGAGATTGAATCTCAGGGCAGGTGCTGAGGGATTAATGACCAGCTTGGAGAAGTAACCAGACTGGTCATAAAGACCCCAGGAAACTCTGTGTCCGGAGGCTGAGTTATTGCTCTGATATAAGATGAAACAGGCATGGACTGAAACTGCAAGATTGTGGGCCAGATTCTGCTCTTCATTCACACTCATTTAAACCCGGTGCGACTCCACTGACATCAAGGCCTGGTGGTAGTTCAGATCACTAATGAGATTAGCTGATGTGCAGGTGGCTTGAGTTATCTCTCAACATTTATTTCAGTTTATAATAAAATGCATTTACAAAAAGCAGTAGCCAGAGAGGGATAGGTTCTAGCCTTGATTTTGATGTATTACTCACTGCAACATTTCATACTGTTGATTGATAATGCATCTCTTAAGTAAGGCATTTGGTTTTGGTAACCATCATTCAGCTATTTAGGTCCAGAAGTGTAAAGATTAATTAGTCAGTGTTTGCACAGACCTTTGAAAATGTAAATTGTGTCTTAGATTCATGGAGGATAGGGCCATCAATGGCTATTGGCCAGAGTCCCTAGTCTCTGTTTGCTAGAAACGGGAATGGGTGACAGGGGATAGATCACTTGATGAATACCTGTTCTGTTTGTTCTCTCTGAAGCACCTGGCAACGGCCACTGTTAGAAGACTGGATACTGGGCTAGATAGACCTTTGGTCTGACCCAGTATGGCCGTTCATATGTAAATAGAGATATTTACAGGCCCAATCCTGATCTCCCTTATCCATGCAAAGAACTCTTATGTGGGTTGTACCACTGAAATCAGTGGGCCAATTCTTGTAAGTAGAGGGTGGCAAGATCTTGTCCTAGCTCAGTGGTTCTCAATCTGTTCCTAACTGGACCACATTTTCCATATTGGGGACCCTCCCTCCCATTTAGTGGCAAGGAAAAGTGGTTACAACTTCCAGGCTGAGAACCCCTGTCCTGGTGCTAAATATGATTAAAGATTACAACTTTAAACACCTGTTCTCTTTCCCCACTGTAGGTTGCTCCTGTAATTAAAGAGAGAATGATGAAGAAAGGCAGCATGATGTTAGGGTACCAACCCCATCGTGGCAAAGTCAACTTCTTTCGCCAGGTAGTGATCAGTCCCCAGGTGAGCCGTGAGGACATGGACTTCCTGCTGGACGAGATCGACTTGCTTGGCAGAGACTTGTAGCTGTAGTTCAACAGCACCAGGCGCTGCTTATATGCATGATGTTTACAGATCAAGAATAGCAGCTGCGTAAATGGCACCATCACTACTGTTCTGAGAAGGTGATGTTTCTGAGAATGACCTCCTATATGCTAATAAGGCAGGTATTTGGCAGGTACCAGTGGACAGACTGGGCCAGATTGGCTGCTGACATAAGTGGGCATGACATCATTAACTTCAGTGGAGTCATGCCTGCTTATGTCAGCCATGAATTTAGCTCAGTGAGTATTAAAATCAAAGCACATCTCTAATACGTTAATATTTTAGCCTGGCATGCATTTAAGGATAAAGGCCCAGTTGGTGATTGAACTAGTGGGTCCTGTGGCTCTCTTAATGAAAGCCCCTAAACCAGAAAATTGCCCCGCACAAAATGGGCCCAATCAGCGTTTGCCCACCCATAAACCTACCATGATTTTAGCAGAGCTGAGAATGTTGGAATGGAGATAGTATCATTTTTTTAACTTTTTGTCAACAGGAGATATGAACAGGAGATGTTAGTGTAAACATTTCTTTAGCAGCTTTAGACGCACGATAAAATTTTAATCAAAAAGTTAGAAAAATATATTTATCTTAAAGGGGTGTGTTTTATATGCAGGGTAGCTATTCATTAAGAATTGATGTAACAAAGCATTGTATTTATCATGGTTCCTTATGATAGTCCTACAGATTTTAAAACCGCTAGCTCTCGTGTGATCAGTGTGTAATTCTTTTTTGGCGTTAAACTTAAGCTGCTGTATAAGTTAAAATTTGTCTGTGATTTTAGCATATGAACATTGTTAAAAAATAAGTGAAATACCAAAATTAAATTCTAAACTTTATAGTTATTCAGAATTACATTATATTTAGACAAATAATTTTGTGAGTGGTCTAGTTTAATTTTTTCTATCTATAAAATGATTCTTTCAATCATAAAAACAGAAATCATAAATGTATCTTTCGGTGGGAGTTCTAGCAGTAAATTTAAGGAAATGGCCACATTTTTCACTTCTAACTTGTGACACTAACTTACTTTGATGTTTTATTCTTTGTTCCATAATCTGTCTTTGAGGAAGCACTGACCAATATGAACTTTTTTGTTGTAATGTATCTGTATTGTTGAAAGCTGTCTTTAAATACAGTGCTGGATGTTTTCATTTAATGTATTGTGGTAGTATCCAGTATTGTAGAACATTCCCGTTTTCAGTCTCCAAGATACCAGTGTGGAAAGTTCGCCAGTATCAGTCACACTGTCAGAGCAGTAGATGGGAACAAGAGCTTGATAGACCTCTGCAGAGTATACTGGGAATGGATACTTTTGAGCCACGGTACACCATTAATATTATTGGGGAGTTCTTGATAAAAGTCATTGGCATAACATAACCCTTTGGTTTTGCCCTGTAATACTTACTGGTTCACATCATCAAACACTACCTATGATTAAGGCTCCATGTTTGTCACGGAGGTCACGTGACCTCCATGACTTCTGCAGCAGCTGGTGTGCCCGGCCCGGGGGCTGCCCGAGATGCTTAGGCAGCCCCCGGGCCAGGCGCACTGACGGCTGCTGGGGCAGTCTTGGGCCCCCCCTGCCCTCCAGCAGCAGGAGTTTGGGTGCTTACCTAGAGGGGGGAGGGCTGCCCTCCCTCAGCTCCTAGCTCCAGGTGCTGCCTCTGCCTGCAGGCACCACCCCCACAGCCCTCATTGGCCATGGTTCCCAGCCAATGGGAGCTGCAGAACCAGGTCTTGGGGCTGAGCAGAGGCAGCAGCATGTGGAGCTCAGGAGCTGGGTAGGGAGCCTGTCCCAGCCCTGCCAATCCTCCCCCATGGCGCGCCCCCTCCCCTTGGGCCGCTACTCTCCTCCCCGAGCACCCAAGGCGCCCCGCCTGGCTGCACCCCATCCTGAGCACCTTGGGGCTCCCCCTCCCCCAGGCCGTGCCTCCCGCATCACCCCTCGAGCTGCCCCCCCTCCAAGTTTTAGCCAGGGGTATATAGTAAAAGTCATAGACAGATCACAGGCTGTGAATTTTTGTTTACTGCCTGTGATCTGTCCGTGACTTTTACTAAAAATACCCGTGACTAAAACGTAGCCTTACCTTTGACTTCTGGGTATACCAGCCATCATAACATAATTTAAAACCCGGATCCAGCAAAGGACTCCAGTACCTGCTTAAAGTTAAGCACTTGGCAGGTCAGGGCCCAATTGCTGTTCTAGACAGCCACCCTTTCTTGACTGGTGTGCAAAGAACCTGAAGAGCACTGAGTTATCAGAATTGCTTTGCTATTGCTTCTGTAGAGTAACCATTCTCTTTTTTGGCTTAGAAAGAAAAGTGTCAGGATTTTCTGATTCCGGCCCAGATTCTCAGCTGGTAAAAGCCAGCCTAGCTCCATTCACTTGAATAAAGCTGCCCCAGCTTACACCAGCTGACGATTTGGTCCTCTGAGTTTACTACTAGTGAAAAGTGTCACCATGCTATTACATTCATCTTAACAAATTACTGCTTTCCTTTATTTCCAGTGATTGAGACAGTCACAGTACACTTCTGGTTGTCTGTCTGAAATCCCATAGTTCTAATTCTATCATAGTAGTAGCTGTATTTTTAAACAAAAGCCAAACTGAACTTTTTTTGAATGTTTGCACAAAATATTTCTTGGATTTACACTTGCACTGTATTTGCTTTCTTGAAAGGTGAAGGTTAACCTTACAGTATGATGGAATTAACTTTTTGAGCTCTGTATTTTCTCTGTTGCAGTTGGCTCCCTGTAACACCTAAGGGATGTAAGAAGCGGGTCCTGCCTCAGGATTGTAACAGCATTTTCCTATAGTAGCTTATTTAGACTTAATAAATGCAAAATGTCTATTTTTAGTCAATGATTTGAATAAAAAGTAAAGGAAATGACACTCTTCTAAAGGGAGGCTGTGCTTGTCATTTGTAAATCGAAAAACCAGGAATATAAATGTTGCCTTTAAAGAAGGGTAAAGGGTGAGTGCTCCAGATGGCAGAAGCAGCCTGGGTTTGAGAATGTCAGGTGCGCTCTACCCCTGCTGCAGGCAATGGGTTATTAATATGCGGCGGCAGAAGAATACTGCCCAGATTATTTTTGAAAAACACCTGGGATAAGGAAGTAGTACAGTTTTACACCTCTTCTCAGTTAAACTGTCAAATGCAGAAGTTAAACTGTCTTTGCAGCAAGTGAGAGTGTTAATTTTCTGAAATATCCTGGTTGAAAATAAATGGATCACTCAACTCCTCCTCTTCTGGTCAGGGAATTACCATCATTCAGAGCACTGAGCCAGATTCTTCCAATGCACAGATATAACTCAAGGCAGAATTTGACTCACTGTCTTTGGTTTCCTTTCTAATAATTACTGGTGTCTCAGTAGCCAAACGGTTTTAGATGTGTGCCTTTATGATTCACATACGTGGATTTGGTATTATGGTGTTATCTGTCATAAAGGAAGTTCTTAGATTGAGAGTACAATGAGCCAAATTGTACCCTCCCCTATGTGTATGCAGAACATAAGAACGGCCGTACCGGGTCAGACCAAAGGTCCATCTAGCCCAGTATCCTGTCTACCGACAGTGGCCAATGCCAGGTGCCCCAGAGGGAGTGGACCAACAGGCAATGATCAAGTGATCTCTCTCCTGTCATCCATCTCCATCCTCTGACAAACAGAGGCTAGGGACACCATTCCTTACCCATCCTGGCTAATAGCCATTAATGGACTTAACCACCATGAATTTATTCAGTTCTCTTTTAAACGCTGTTATAGTCCTAGCCTTCACAACCTCCTCAGGTAAGGAGTTCCACAAGTTGACTGTGCGCTGTGTGAAGAAGAACTTCCTTGTATTTGTTTTAAACCTGCTGCCTATTAATTTCATTTGGTGACCCCTAGTTCTTGTATTATGGGAATTAGTAAATAACTTTTCCTTATCCACTTTCTCCACATCTCTCATGATTTTATATACCTCTATCATATCCCCCCTTAGTCTCCTCTTTTCCAAGCTGAAGAGTCCTAGCCTCTTTAATCTCTCCTCATATGTGACCCGTTCCAAACCCCTAATCATTTTAGTTGCCCTTTTCTGAACCTTTTCTAGTGCCAGTATATCTTTTTTTTAGATGAGGAGACCACATCTGTACGCAGTATTCGAGATGTGGGCATACCATTGATTTATATAAGGGCAATAATATATTCTGTCTTATTCTCTATCCCCTTTTTAATGATCCCTAACATCCTGTTTGCTTTTTTGACCGCCTCTGCACACTGCGCGGACATCTTCAGAGAACTATCCATGATTACTCCAAGATCTTTTTCCTGACTTGTTGTAGCTGAATTAGCCCCCATCATATTGTATGTATAGTTGGGGTTATTTTTTCAAATGTGCATTACTTTACATTTATCCACATTAAATTTCATTTGCCATTTTGTTGCCCAATCACTTAGTTTTGTGAGATCTTTTTGAAGTTCATCACAGTCTGCTTTGGTCTTAACTATCTTGAGCAATTTAGTATCTGCAAACTTTGCCACCTCACTGTTTACCCCTTTCTCCAGATCATTTATAAATAAGTTAAATAGGATTGGTCCGAGGACTGACCCTTGGGGAACACCACTAGTTACCCCTCTCCATTCTGAGAATTTACCATTAATTCCTACCCTTTGTTCCCGGTCTTTTAACCAGTTCTCAATCCATGAAAGGACCTTTCCTTTTATCCCATGACAACTTACTTTACTTAAGAGCCTTTGGTGAGGGACCTTGTCAAAGGCTTTCTGGAAATCTAAGTACACTATGTCCACTGGATTCCCCTTGTCCACATGTTTGTTGACCCCTTCAAAGAACTCTAATAGATTAGTAAGACACGATTTCCCCTTACAGAAACCATGTTGACTATTGCTCAACAGTTTGTTTTTCTATGTGTCTGACAATTTTATTCTTAACTATTGTTTCGACTAATTTGCCCGGTACCGACGTTAGACTTACCGGTCTGTAATTGCCGGGATCACCTCTAGAGCCCTTTTTAAATATTGGCGTTACATTAGCTAACTTCCAGTCATTGGGTACAGAAGCCGAGTTAAAGGACAGGTTACAAACCTTAGTTAATAATTCCGCAACTTCACATTTGAGTTCTTTCAGAACTCTTGGGTGAATGCCATCTGGTCCCAGTGACTTGTTAATATTAAGTTTATCAATTAATTCCAAAACCTCCTCTAGTGACACTTCAATCTGTGACAGTTCCTCAGATTTGTCACCTACAAAAGCCGGCTCAGGTTTGGGAATCTCCCTAACATCCTCAGCCGTGAAGACTGAAGCAAAGAATCCATTTAGTTTCTCCGCAATGACTTTATCGTCTTTAAGCGTTCCTTTTGTATCTCGATCATCAAGGGGCCCCACTGGTTGTTTAGCAGGCTTCCTGCTTCTGATATACTTAAAAAACATTTTGTTATTACCTTTGGAGTTTTTGGCTAGCCGTTCTTCAAACTCCTCTTTGGCTTTTCTTATTACATTCTTGCACTTAATTTGGCAGCGTTTATGCTCCTTTCTATTTGCCTCACTAGGATTTGACTTCCACTTTTTAAAGAAAGTCTTTTTATCTCTCACTGCTTCTTTTACATGGTTGTTAAGCCACGGTGGCTCTTTTTTAGTTCTTTTACTGAGTTTCTTAATTTGGGGTATACATTGAAGTTGGGCCTCTATTATGGTGTCTTTAAAAAGCGCCCATGCAGCTTGCAGGGATTTCACTTCATATTGCAGTAACGTGGAGCATAATTATTTCTTGGGAATTTTGCCTCTCTCTCCATCTGCAGTTTCACACACACCATACAGTTACAGAGCATGCAGGAGAAATAATCTTGGACTATAGAGATCCTGCTAGTAAGAATTCCTCTATAGGATTGGCATAGTGTCCGATCCTGCAAGATTTGTATGCATGAAACTCCTGTTTACTTCAGGATAAACGTTGTGTTTGGAGGGCTTGGTGGACTGGGCACTGAACGTTGTAGCCCAAATTTTGGATTTTTATACTACGAAGAAGTTTCTTTGATTTGTCAGTGCTGTAGTACATGTCTGGATAGAATTTTACAAGCAAAGGATGCATATCCCCCATAAAGCAAAGAAGATTAACTCCGTCTAACCCTAAGAAATGTTATCATACCCTTTCTCATACTGGGTAGCACCATAGTCTACCCTTCCTTCAGTGAGTCTGCTTATGGTGTAGTGAGAGTCAGTGGGAATCAGAATCTGGCCCCTAACGTTGCTGGTATATTTAAATGTGCATCTTGCAAATACACAGAAGCTAAACAATCTCCTTGGTCACAGGGTTAAATAATGATTCTTAAAGTATTCATTTAGAAATGTTTGTACTCTGTAAAATTGTTTAATCGCTTTAAGTCTAGCCTGGGTCTTCGTCCTGTCCTGGGGAGGTGATGGAGATGAGAAAATGCAGATAATAAAGCTCCTTTGTGCTTCAGGAGAATGGATGTCTACTAAGTAGTGTACAGTGCCTAGACATGCCACCCCTTATTTCTGGGTTATTTTAGAAGGGGTTACCTCGGTGAGGACAGAATCTGTCATGTTCTAGGAAATGGCCATTTTAGAGGCATGGACTGCTTCTGCTCCTAAAGAAATCACCTGG